AAAGCGAATGTGGTCGTTGATGCTTCGAGCCGCAAGAAGGCTACTTCTACTATTAAGAGCCTATGTATGAGGATTTCGATTGATTCACCATTGTTGGATTTGATTACGGAGGCTCGGGCTGAGGGAGTCAAGAAAGAGAACTAGAAGTAGGAACGAATCAAGGGCGAGATTGACAGGTTTTCTACCGACAGTCGAGGATTATTGACCCGGTGTGGTTAGGTTTGGGTGCCAGATTTTGGTGGGATCAGGCAAATTGTACTTGCGGAGGCACACAAGTCTAGGTTTTTAATACACCTTGGAGCCACCAAGATGTATCGAGATTTGAGACTTAGTTATTGGTGGTCGTTCTTGAAGAGAGAGATAGTCTGGTATGTCGAGAGGTGCTTGACATGTCGGATGGTCAAGGCTGAGCACCAGAGGTTGCATGGTAAGATGCACCCACTGGAGGTTCCCATGTGAAAATGGGAACATATACTATGGATTTCATAACCAAGTTACCTCGGACGGCTAGGGGATTCGATGCGATATGGATCATAGTGGACCGTCTGACCAAGAGCGCCCACTTTTTAGCCATTCGAGAGAGCTCATCGGCCGAGAAATTGGTCGATTTATATATGTTTGAAATTGTTGTTCAGCATGGTATTCCAGTCTCGATTGTATCTGATCGATATGTTCAGTTCACATCTTGTTTTTGGCAGAAGTTCCACGAGAAGTTGGGTACGAGGTTGCATCGTTGCACTGCTTATCTTCCGCAGACTCACGATCAGAGTGAGCGGACCATTCAGACACTTAAGGACATGTTGAGAGCTTGTGTTATAGATGTTGGTGGGAGTTGGGACTCCTACCTTCCCTTAGCTGAGTTTTCTTACAACAACAACTATCACTCCAATATCCATGTGCCGTAATTCGAGCTCCTCTATGGGAGGAAGTGTCGTACCCATGTTTGGTGGGGAGAGATTGGTCATAGAGTCATGGGAAGGACTGAGGTAGTCCTTTATACGAAGGAGCTTATTCATCAGATTAGGCAGAGACTATAGACAGCTCAGAGTCGACAAAAGAGTTATGCCGATAAGCGTCGAACTGAGTCGGAGTTCTAGGTTGGCGACATGGTTTTACTAAAGGTATCACCCTGGAAGGGTGTAATACGCTTCAAGAAGAGGGGCAAGTTGGGGCCCCGATATATTGGGCCATTTCGAGTGACTGCTAGGGTTGACAAGGTAGCTTACAGGCTGGATTTTCCTGAGGAACTCAGTCAGATTCACAACACCTTCCATGTTTCTCAACTTTGGAAGTGTGTGGCTGATGATTTAGCAATTGTTCCTTTGGAGGATATTCAGGTTGATAATCACCTGAATTATATGGAGAGACCAGTGGTGATTTTGGATCGGAAGATGAAGCCCTTACGCAACAAGGTGGTGTCTTTAGTCAAGGTTCAGTGGCAGCATCGAAAACGTTCTGAATGGACTTGGGAACCCGAAGACGGATATGCGGTAGCATTACCCTAAGTTGTTCACGACATCAGACTTCAAGGACGAAGTCTAGTTCAAGTGGGGGAGAACTGTAACATCTCGATTTCCAGGTATTTACCTTTTACCCCCTTGGTATGAGAATTGTTTGCAAATTAGACCATAATGGCACTTTTGTAATTTTAGGGGTTGCTTGAGTATGTTGGGCGTACATTGCGTAAGCATTGCGTACGTGACCAGGGTGCAAACCCTAATTTTTAGGGGTTGGACCCTATTTAAACACCCTTATCTCCCAATACTTATTTCTTTCATCAGCCTCCAAGCCCTATTTTGACCCTTTGCAAACCCTAATCCATTTGAGAGCACCTTTGAGCCATTTGTGTGGGTTTTGATGAGCTTAAAGGAGGTGCAAAGAAGAGGAGACCATCTTAGAAGAGTGGAGCACTTTGGATCAAGAATCACATCATCATTTCACAACATTTGGCGGTAAAAAGATTTGATCTTGATGAAGTTCTTCTTAGATCTTGTTTAGTCATGGTTTTATGTTCATTTTGGTCCCATAATCTTGGTATTATGAGTATGGGTTACGCTAATTCATATGAGTTATCCTTTCAGACATTTGGAGTGTTTAGAAGCATAAAAATGTGATCTTGGTCATTAGTTTCTTCCATGCATGAACTAGGATGTCTTAATGAGTTAAGAAGTTAGGGTTTTTGGTATTGACCACTTAATAGCCATGCAAGACCATAAAGTTAAAAACTTTATGGCTAAGGACGACATTTGAGGACTAGATTTGGATTTTTGGATAAAAGAGCTTAAGGATTAAGCTCTTAAAAAAAGGGTTTGGGTGGCAAGTGCGTATGTAGGGCGTATGCTATGCTACGTTGCACGTACCAGCTCAACACCCTAATTCTTTGTCAAGCCTGAGTACATTAAGCGTACAAGTTGAGTACGTCCAGCGTACTCAGCTGAATCAACTCAGTTGTTTTCGTTGACTTTCAATTTTGACCAGGTGTTGACCTAATTTGACCTAAGGGTATTTTGGGTATTTTGAGTATAAGTTAAGTTTGGTCATGTTCCAATGAATAGGTGACCGGTAGAGCTGAGATTCGGAGTTGTGTCCTGTTCAACGATCTTTTAAGACTGAGAGGTGAGTTTTCCTCACTGTTCTTGCGGATCGAAGGCACCAATGTCATCCCATTTGATTATGTATCCTGGTATAGAGGATGTTGCTATGCGGCAGTGATCTGTAGATTTGCCTGTTTGTCTGTTAACTGGTTATATGTTATCTGTTATGTATATTTCGACATGTTATGGTTTGGGTTGAGGCTTTACTGCTATGTGCGTGAGCCAACAGACCGGGGGTAATCCAGCCTGATGGTTGGGGACCTGAGGGTATTCTAGTCTGATAACTGAGTGGACCCGTTGCATACTGGCATTCCAGTTCAATGACTGATTGGGCCGGGGGTAATCCAGCTCGATGGTTGTGGACCCGAGGGTATTCTAGTCTGATTACTGATTGCATCCAGCGAACAATGTTTGTATATGTTATGTTGTGTTGTGTTACTTTGGGGCAACTCACTAAGCTTTAGCTTACAGTTTCAGTTTATTGTTTCAGGTACTTTAGATGACCATGGCAAGACGAAGACATGATCGTGCACATTAGGGGCGAGCAAAAACCAAACCGACTAAAGAAAAACCGATAAAACCGCAATAAACCGCAACCGAAAAACCGAAACCGATGCAAAAACCAATGGTGCGGATTTAATTTTTGCAAAAACCGAAGGTCAACGGTGCGGTGCGGTTTCTATCCAAAAAACCGGTCCACCAAAACCGAACTGCACCGCAAGCGTGTATAGTAATAAATCAATCAATGTATATTATATACATGCTATTTAAAATACTTATAAACGATAATATATTTATTATTTGTTTATTTTATGTTTGTGTAAGACTATATGGGGTACAAAAGAAATGTTCTATTGTTAGTCAAAGGTACTAATCGATTACATGAAATAAGCTTGTAACAAATTAAGTCAAAATCAACCAACTTTCAATTATTAATTAGTTTGTGAGAGTAATCACATGTTGTATTTTAAGCGACTTACAATTTTTGATTATGTATTTTTGTTTTGAGCTGAAAATGAATGGTTTAAAAAAAACAGCACAATACAAGCTTACATGCACATGGTTTTCAATTCTTACAGTTTTAAAAAACCGCACCAAAAAACATAAAAAACTGCACCAAATTCTAAACACGATTTAAAACCGAAAGCGCACCGATACAAACCGAAACCACATTTAAAACCGAAAAACCGAACCATTGCAAAACCGCACCCAACGGTTTTAAGAATGCAAAAACCGCACCATGCGTTTTGCGGTTCGATTTGCCCTTAAAACAACACCAAACCGCACCATGTTCACCCCTAGTGCACATCCTTCATATTTTATGTTATTTGGATTTTGGGATATTCTTATTATTGACTATCACTTTTGAAGTAATGTTGTGTAAACAATTAAAGTTATTGGGTTGTGTTTAAAAAATGAAAATTTTACTCTGATTTTGGGATGTTGCAGACCAAGACTAGGAGGTGCCGCATATATGCTTTCATCCTAAAACCCTGTTTTCCAATGATAAGAATTTAAATAGTTGTAATAAAAACATACCCGAAAAACAAGTGTTACATACAACATTTGGTTGGAGTTATCTAATTCTATTAGTGTTAATTTATGTTTAGTTTATTTGTTACGTTACTTACTGTGGTTTTCTAGTTATACAATTAGGATTTTTGTGGTAAGATTGAAGATGTTGTTTCTGACAAGTTTATATCTAATTAAATGACGGAGAAGCCAATGAAGTAAGTTATAACCTATGGTTTAAATTATGTAGTTTCATATGGTATGGAAATATTTTCCATTCATATTTTATTGATGCCTATTTTGTTACATTATATTTATTTGTTTTGTTTTTTATTGTTGTTTTTTATTTTTACAATCAAGATGCTTGTGCTAATGTCAAAGATGCTCTTGCTAACATATTATGATTGAGGTAAAAAATGGGTAAACCAACGACATAAGTTACAATGCATGGTTAAAAATTATCTAATTTTCTTACGATATGAAGTTCTTTATTTGTTATGTTTCTTATTATTTATTTCAATGTACACAATTAGGATATTTGTGCTAATATCGAATATAATGTTTCTCACAAATCTATGTTGCGTGTAAAAGACTAAAAAACAATGATTTTACAAAATATGATTTAAGTTCCTAAATTTCAGAAAATTTCCATTTAACATTTTTTATGGTATTTTGTTAAATTATCATTATTTGTTATGCTTTTTATTGTCATTTCCTATATTACAACTAGCAAGGTACCCAGGCTTCGCCCGGGTCGGTGTGTGCTTTTTTTTTTTCTATCATGCTGAAATGTATCCATGTTTCACATGATTAACCTCCTTCAAATTCTTCCCATCATAGCATCATGTTTCAACTCTGGAATGGAATCATTAAGGACAATCTAGTGCCAAGAAATAACAAACTACTTTAGTTTATTTGTTGACTATAACATCCTACTTTTGTTTTTGTCTATCAAACAAATTGAAATACAACTTTGGAAATTTTGAAGAACAACGATAAATTAAATCCAAGAATTAGTGTGCTTTCTGTTACTCCGAACTTCAAGTGCTTCTATTTCATAACCAAGCTCCTTATTAATGCAGCTATCTGGAGAGGCTTTTCATTTAGAAACCCAACCTGCAAAAATAATAATAAATTTTTATTTAAAAAAAGTAATGTTTTCAATTAAGTAAATTAAAGTTTATAACGAAAAGTAAGCCAAAAAAGCATTGCAAAGGTTTATTTTAGGCAAATAGCGAAATATGACGAATATACCCTTAAGATTGACATGAAAATAAAAGGATGACTACAATGAAGTTAGAGTGCTATTAGAAATTAGAAACGAATAAATGAAAGAACAACTTACTTTCATTTATTTATAATACAACACTGCACTTTGATAGAAGAATGTTATAATAAACAAAGGAAATTAGGTTGTCTCATGTAATTAAGACATATTTTGATAAGAGGATGTACTAAAAATTTTTTTGTCCCTGAGATTTCTGAAATTTACCGTAAAAGTTGAAATATGTTGAACAAAGTAATTCCATGTTTAAAACCTTGCAAGGGATGCTTCATCTAGGTTAAAAAAGAATGCAGATTGTAGATCCAAGTTAGAATGCTAATGCTTCATCCAGGTTAAATAACTCCTGAAATGGACACTTCTGTACATCTAAAAGTGGAAGTTAACTAAATTAATTTGGATAGAATCAAAATAGGAAGAAATGGACTATCATGCATACAATTTCTCGGGTGTATGTTAATAATGGTTTTGGCATTTGTTTATATTTAATATTTTTTTGATTTGTTAATTAACTTCTTATGGAAAACTATGACTATCAAGCCCTTAATAGAGAATGCTAATAAACGAAAAATAAATGTGCAGGGCACATTCCCACAGAGAAGCAATATAGGCCACAATTATCTATACTCAACATTACATTTAGTAAGCACACAACCAGGTATATAAACAGACCTTTGGGAAATTTGCTGCAAGGCTGTTGAAAACTGCTTCAACATAACCACCAACTATTTAAGCGGTCCAACGAAGCTCTTCTTCTAGATCTGCAGATTTTCTAGTCATTGTATCCTACAATTTCCATCTGACTTTTTACAAATTTTTCCTTGATAGAAAAAAAAGAAGAAAGACCCTAAGAGAACCATCTTAATGAGTATGGTGAATGGGGGGACCATCTGCTTTCATAACTACTTCACCTCCTTTGATGCCGATGACAACTCTTAGTTCGTTTAAGTCTCTTACTTTGAGCCATGTAGAAGAAAAGCGACAACTGCAACAACCCTTATTAGAAAGCAAAACCACAATCGATGGTTTCAAACATATTGACAAAACCCACATCAAAGTAATAACAATCATCAAGCTATATAAATTTTATGAAACTGAACCTACTCCATCACCAGGCACAGGTCTTTTTTTTGGGTTTTTTTTTTTTTTCTTTCTAAGTGGGCTTTGTTGGTAAAAACATTTTTACCAAGTAGAATGCCATAAATGGCGATTTCCAAAAAATAGAATGCTATAAAAGATATTTTTTTACCGCTGCCCAATGTTTTTCTTGTTTTCCTTTTCTGACCTTAAGAATTTATATGTTCAAACAAATTATTAGAAATTTGAAAATTTACAGCAAATATGTTTGTATTTTCAAAAAAAAGATTAACTACATTATAAACATGCAAAACAATAAATAAATAAAGTTATGTTAAAGACTCAAGGTTTCAACATTGGGTTGCAACTTGCAATACATGTAAGTAATCTACTGGAGAAATTAATTGTAGGCCTGGCAATCGTGTCGTGTTCGGGTTGGCGTGTCGCGGGTTGGCGGGTTGGCGGGTCAAAATATGCCAACCCAAACATGACCTATTTAAATATACAATATACAGGTTACGGGTTGGCGGGTCACGGGTTGGCGGGTTTGGAACATAAACCCATATATGACCCGTCAACCCATTTATTTATACAGGTTCGTGGGTCAGATTTGGGTTCGTGGGTCAGATTCCATAAATAAATTTGACAATTAAACATGAATAAATTCTTGATGGTTGATGCAAACATATCCAAATTTTAGACACTTAAGTCTTAAACATCCAAATGAAAATTAAAAACATTCATAGAAACATGTTTAAACTAAACATTAATACAAACATAGATAATTCAAGTGCTAAAGTAATAGCCACAATTCCTATTTTTTCTCCCAAAAAACAAAGTCAATTCTCCAACACCATTTCGATACCTAATTTCGATCATAGAGTAACAGAGGGGAGAGTGGGACTGTGGGAGACTGGGAGACTGGAAGTCTGGAAGAGGGAGATGCACTCATACGTGATTTGATTTTGAGATTATTATTTAGGGCAAATGGGCAAAATGGTTACAGACTTAGCCTTACAGGTTACGACTTACGACCTTAGGCCATCCACCACGAGTCAAAATGTCAAAACAGTCACATGGTCTATGAATCAATGATATATATTATATAATACTTATTAAATATTAATACTTGTTACACAAATACATTTAAAAATAATTTTTTTATTAAAAATATAAACGGGTTGGCGGGTCAACCCGTTTATTTTTTGAGAAACCCATATATGACCCGTTTAATAAACAGGTTGGCGGGTTGAAAAACTCAACCCAAACCCATTTATTTCGTTTCGTGTCGCGGGTCGTGTCGAGAATTGCTAGCCCTAATTAATTGTTACTTTTCAGGTGAATAGGTACCAAAAAAGTTTAATACAAAAGTAAATTTTCAATCAATAGAGTTTGAAAGAATTAAACATAACTACATTAGCAAGTGAACAAACAAAAAAGTAAAATACTGAGCTTACCCTCCAAAGAGGCCAGTTTGCCAAGCTTAAATGTCATCTGAGACTAACGATAAATAGAAAGACAAATCATTTTCAATGGAGAAAAAAATAACAATAATAATGAAGCTTGCATGACATAAAGGTATTACCTGTTAAAAAAGTGGACCATATAATCAACATCCTTCTCTATCATTCTAGTAAGTTGAAAATCATAAAATATAGTAATAATTAAGACCCTTACATTCAAAATTGAAACTTCAAATGCCATATTAAATTTTGATGGTACCACAAAAGTGAAAAACCTTACATATAAACTCCGGTACATGTGCAATGAGTTTTCTTCGTGGGATCCGCATGCAGCCGTTGCCTCTGTAGTTGACAAAATACCATCTTAAGTTTATGATTCTTTCCACTTGCTTATGACAATGAGGAGAACACAATAAAATATACCTTTGATCCAGTGCAACTTTCTGCATCATATCCGCTTGAAGTTCCACCTATCTAAGAAATATTGAATTTTTATAAACAGGTTAAACCTTCTTCCAGGCATTCTCTCAAATAGTTGGGGTGTCTAATACAGAAGTAGCAAAGAAATAGAAAATCACAATGCATCGGAAACACTCACATACAATGATTTTAATTCGACACACCTAAACTTCAAAAAAAAAGAAGAAATTCTCTCGGTTTTACCTTATTAGCTGCTTCTGAAATATGTGGGCATTTTGCGTGTATGTGTGCTGACTGTTGAGGACCAACCCAGGCAACGATGGATAGAGGCATGTATGCTCAGTGGGTAATGAAGGTGATGACGGTGGTGAAGGGCAAAATCGAACACACTACCGAATTTTGAAGAACTTTGTAACTAATGTTGGACCAGAGAATGTGGAAACCCAAATCAAAGACCAAAAAAAATTATACGACTGGTGAAGATGGAAGTCTAAAGCAAACCCAAATAGAAAAAATAAATCCTATTGAAATAAAGACGTAGCTTTGTCAAAATTCCAAATCAAACCCCAACTTAGGCTCTGTTCCAACGTACAGGAGAAGAGATGAGTTACGATTATGGGGAAGATGCCACCGAAATGGATGCACTCTGGCAAAACCATGGTTCGTCTTACCTTCTGGTGCAGGCGAAATTGGGGGAGAAGCTCCCTATAAATTGACCACTTCACCAGAGATGCGAATCGGAGTCAGGAATGGAAACAGGGAAGCAGTCGGACAAAGGATCCCAATGGCAAAAGGGGAAAACGGACGCCATTATTTTCCACGGCTTCAAGAAGCAGCATATATATAGTTTTATAGAGGTAAATAGACAGGTGGAGGTGGGGTGGGGAATGTGGTGGCTGATGGGGGGAAGATCTTTGAAGAAGACAGAATTCAAAGATGAGGCGGTCACTCTAGGCGGTGGTTCACTGGTTTGGAAGAGCTTTGGAGTGTGGAAGGAAGTGGAAGGTAGAAGTCGATTAATGGAGGCGGTGGGGAAGGGTCTGGAGGCGGTGCAGGAAAGAAGGGAGAAGGGGGGTGAGAAGGGGTTTGGAGGAACGTATGACAAAGTGCGGTGGAAGATATGTTGAAATGAAGATCAGAGGCGGTGGGGATGCTTAGTCGGTGACAGCAAGCGTATTGTTATTGGTTTCCTTAGGCGGTGGGAAAGAGGGAAAGAGGAACAGATTTAACCAAAAAAAAATAACGGTCCAATAGTAACAATTTACTGTTCCGTAATAAGGAACTCAAAATTAATATTATTATATTATAAATTAGTTTGTTTTTGTTAATACCAAAACAATGTTTCTGACAAATCTACAACTGGGGTAAAAGATGGGGAAGACAATAGAGTATTTTATAACCAATTAATTTCTTACGGTAATGAAATCCACATAATTCAATTTATTTCCTATGAGTTTTTTTTTTCATTCTTCTTTAGACTTATATTATACAGGTTCTAACAAAAATATGTTGAGTATGCAGATATATTGGGTAAAAGATGTGATTTTATTTAATGGTAATTTGTTTGCTTAGCCCAATTTTACATTTTGTATTTATTTTGTATATTTGGTTCGGTTTAATATATTTCGTATTCATGAATCTAAATGATTATGTTTCCTTTTTGTTTGACTCAACCTTTCAACTGTATGCACATAATCTTGCATTTTATAAATTATTTTTTCAAGTTAATTTATTTTATTTTGGACTAGATGTTAATAATAGCTACATACTTTTATATGTAACACATGAATGCTGAAAAATGGGATGCTCTTGTCATTGTTTTCGGTACAAATTGAATTCTTAGAATTCATGGGCATGACTGAAGTGAAATTTGTTTTACATACACATTTTAAGTCACTACTAGTTCATCATGTAATATATATCATTAGTACCGTAGAGAGTGATATTATTTAAATAAGGCTCGAGGGTATACTCTTCTTTCACCTTTCATTTTTTTGTCGCAACGCCACCTCATTTTCCCGTCACCCCCTCCCTTTCACTCTTCAAAACCCAGGAAATTGTTACCTTTCACTTCCTTTCATTTTTATTATATTAAAACAACATATATTTTACATAAAATTACAAAAATGGTCCATGTGGTATGGTGTAATAGGCACATATAAAAATGGAGAAATTTGATCCTTGTGATTTGTTGATATTACATAAATGGTCCTTCCGACACACGACGTCAAAAAAATTCTGTTAAATTTCTATAAAATAACCTTTTTACCCTCTTTTTCTTTTTCATTTTGTTTTGTATTTTGCAATTACTTCCCTATACTACAAGGACCATTCATGTAACTTACGCTAAGGAAGCATATCTAATCTCCAATTCTTCTCTATCGTTCATCCCGCTTCGATGAAAATTCTTGAACCAGAGGTTTCATCATTCCAATATTCATTCATTCTTCCTAATATTTCAATCCTTTCTTCATCATATTTCCATCATTCGCCATGAATTTCATAAATATCGCTATCCTACTTCACAAATCTTTTTTGTCTTTTATGGTTATGGTGGTGGTCGATGGCATCCTTCATCTGCAACCATGGATGTATGCCGCTAGTCACCACCAACATGACCATATATATTTTCGGTTGTGGTCACCGAAGTAGCAAAAAACTATGAGTCCTAACAGACCACCGACGACCACCACAACCTTCATCACCTTATTTTAAAAGAGGAGTACTACTGGCCTTAACGCAACCTCCATCACCTTATTTTAAATGGGATTTATTAGGGCTTAATCTTGGTTCATGAAAGTAGCCAATAACGACTTTCATGTTTGTGAAAAAGTAGAAAAACACATAAATTTGATTGAATTTTGCCCATAATTTCGATCGAAATTTCACTTCGGAGTTTCAGAAATTCCCAAAAATCAAAAAAAATGCAAAATTCGATCAAAGACTTAAAAAAATTCGATCGTGTTTCTCAAAAAGCAATCGAATTTTTGGGTTTCTTACTCACGAAGACTCTTGCTCATATATAGGACGCTTCTCTGATCAGATTAAAGGTTGACCGATTCCTGAAGCTCTAGACGATGAAAAGACGATTTTTGAGGCGATTTCTCTGCGATTTCAACGATTTTTGAAGATCTAAAGATTGTGGATCATGTCTCTCAGTTAGTCAGATTCAGTAGTTTAATGTTTCTCTTTACTAGTTTTTATCAGATTTTAGCCATGTCTAGCGAAAACCCTAGTTTTCAGTTCTACAATAGACTAGTACTTTTCATGTGATCAGTTGTTAGATTTGGTTTTCATTATGGGCTTCTATCTAGTTGTTTCAAAGATCCTAATGAATGTTTGATTTTTAATTCTTATTAGTCTCATCACCTAGCTAGGGTTTAATCAGGTAATAGAATTTGTAATTGTTCTTGTCAACTTGTCATAAGTAACAAGTATCAGCTTGGTTTCGTGTTGGGCTGGCATTGGTGCCTTCAACCCGCAAGAACAATGAGTAAAACTCACCTCTCAGTCATAAAAGATCGTTGAACATGACACAACTCTAAATATCAACTCTACTGGTCACCTATTCATTGGAACATGACCAAAATTAACTTATAATGAAAATATCCAAAATACCCTTAGGTCAGATTAGGTCAAAATATAGTCAAAGTCGAAAGTCAACAAAAACAGTCGAGTTAACTCAGTTGAGTATGTTGGGCGTACTCAACTTGTACGCTTAGCGTACTCAGGCTTGACAAAGAATCGGGGTGTTGACCAGGTACGCACAGCATACCATAGCATACGCCCTGCGTACACACTTGCCACCCAAACCCTTCTATTAAGAGCTTAATCCCTAGGCTCTTTTATCCAAAAATCTAGATCTAGTCCTCAAATGTTGTCCTTAACCATAAAGTTTCCAATTTTATGGTCTTGCATGACTATTAACTACTCAATACCAAAAACCCTAACTACTTAACTCATTAAGACATCCTAGTTCATACATGGAAGGAAACTAATGACCAATATCACATTTTTATGCTTCTAAACACTCCAAAATATTTGAAAGGAGAGCTCATATGAATTAGAGTAACCCATACTCATAATACCTAGCTTATGGGACCAAAATGAACAAAAAAACCATGACTAAACAAGATCTAAGAAGAACTTCAACAAGATCAAAGTTGTTTACCTCCAAATGGTGTCGAATGGTGATGTGATTATGGATCCAAAGTGATCCACTCTTCTAAGATGGTATCCTCTTCTTTCCTCCTCCTTCAATATCACCAAAACACACACAAATGGCTCAAAGATGCTCTCAAATGGATTAGGGTTTGCAAAGGGTCAAAATGGGGCTTGGAGGCTAATGAAAGAAACAAGTCTTAGGAGATAAGGGTGTCTAAATAGGATCCAAACCCTAAAAATTAGGGTTTGCACCCTGGTTACGTACGTCATGCGTACGCAATGTACACCCAACGTACTCAAGTAGCCCCCGAAATTACAAAAATGCCATTATGGTCCAATTTTCAAACAATTCTCATATCAAAGGAGTAATAGGTAAAAACCTTGAAATCGAGATGTTACCATTCTCCCCCACTTGAACTAGACTTCGTCCTCGAAGTCCGGTGCCGTGAACAATTCAGGGTAATGCTCCTGTATCTCTGTCTCTTGGTTCCCAAGTCCATTCGGAACCTTCATAGAGAAATCATTGGTAATAAACAAGGAAGAAGAGAAGCTCTACATATATATATATATTGGGAGAGATTAAAAAAGTTGTTGGTTCGTTACCCAAAACATGGAGCCAGCGATTATCAGCTCTATAACTATTTATACGAAGGTATGACACCCATGGAGAGGCACTTGATAAGTGCTTCAAGTGCCGAATCTCTAGGCGATATGACACCAACAGAAATCCGGGAACTGATCGAGAAGTCGACGATAAAGTCAAAGCATTCAACAACTAAAGAAGAATGGTATCCAGATCAGCCAAAGGGAGTAAAAGAAATCAGCAATGCTACCTTAAAACCCATATTTCTAAACTCATGAAAGTAGTGTTGCTGCTGAAAAAAGAAAAAGTGGTTGCCAAGAAGAAGTATGGGATATGCTTGAAGACTGATCATACCACTGACATGTGTCTATTATTGAAAGAGGATACAATTGCAGTAAAATTTGTCGAAGGCTATCAGCAGAATTATCGGAACAATTTTCAGCAACGACAGCAGTATCAGAATTCACCCAGATTTCAGCAGCAACGAAATTTTCAGCCGTCGGGTTTTCAGCAGTCGAATTATCAGCAGCAGCAATTTTAGGACCAACTTCCAAATTAGCAAGCCAGTTGTTCTAGCTTGTCCTTGTAAGATATAGTGGAGAGCCTTGCCACCAGCACTCATGCATTTTATAATGAAACCAGAGCAAGTATAAAAAAATCTGGAACAACAAATGTCTCAGCTTGCCACTTTTGTGAGTCGACTGGAGTCTCAAGGAAAACTACCTGCGCAAACTGAACATAATCGGAAGCATAATGTAAGCGCAATTTCCTTGAGAAGTGGGAAGAATTATGAAGACCCAAACAAATTTGGATCTGACAGAGAAGAAACTGAAAAGAATCTAAAGAGGTGGTAACTGAAAATGTGGAAGAAAAAGTAACTCCTAAGCAGCCCAAGCAAGTTCTGAAGGAGTACAAGCCCTTACCGTCATTCCCATCACGATTGAAGAGTATGAAGCGCGAGCGAGAGGATGAGATCACAGAAATCTTCCATAAGGTGGAGGTAAATCTTCCACTTTTAGATGTTATAAAACACATCCATCGTTATGCCAAATTTTTAAAGGAATTTTGTGTTTCAAAGAAAAAATTTAAAATTAACGAAATATTAAAAGTTGGTGAAAACATTTTTGCTATTTTGCAAAAGGGTTTACCTCCAAAGTGCAAGGATCTGGGAGTTTTCTCGATTCCTTGTAAATTGGGTGACCTTAATTTTCCAAAAGCCATGCTTGACCTAGGAGCTGCAGTCAATGTCCTTCCCTATTTTGTTTTTGAAAATTAAAATTGGGAACTTTAAAAAGGATTGGGACTATTATCCAGTTGGTTGACCACTCAACACTCAACAGTATACCCAAAATATGTACTTGAGGATGTTCCTGCCCAAGTGAATGATTTGATCGTTCCCGCTGATATTTATATCCGGGACATGGGTAATTTGGACATATGAGA